GCGGCAGTTATTTGGTTGATGTGCGCTTCAGGAGATGTGCCTCGTGTTATACTCACCCCAAGATCTTTTTCCTTGAGTGATGTTTGTAGTCTCTGACCCCCTAGACTGTACTCCGTCTGCGAGTCTTCTTTGCCCTTCCCCAATCCTCATGACTTTGCACTTGGTGGGATTGAACTCCAGGAGCCAGTTGCTGGACCAGGTCTGCAGCCTGTCCAGATCCCTTTGTATTTCTGCCTGGTCTTCGATCGAATGAACTCTTCTCATCAACTTCACGTCATCTGCAAACAGGGACACCTCAAGATTTATTCCTTCCATCATGTCGTTCACAAATACCAGAAACAGCACTGGTCCTAGGACTGACCCCTGTGGGACCCCGCTGGTCACAGGTGCCCACTCTGACACCTCGCCACGTACCATTACTCGCTGCTGTCTTCCTGACAAGTATTCCCTGATCCACTGAAGTGCTTTCCCTGTTATCCCTGCTTGGTCCTCCAGTTTTTGTACTAATCTCTTGTGTGTTACTGTGTCAAACGCCTTCTTGCAGTCCAAGAAAATGCAATCCACCCACCCCTCTCTCTCTCTTGTCTTACTGCTGTCACCATGTCATAGAACTCCAGTAGGTTTGTGACACAGGATTTCCTGTCTCTGAAACCATGTTGGCTGCTGGTGATGAGATCATTCCTTTCTAGATGTTCCACCATTCTTCTCCTGACAATCTTTTCCATGATTTTGCATGCTATACATGTCAGTGACACTGGTCTGTAGTTTAGTGCTTCATGTCTGTCTCCTTTTTTAAAGATTGGGACCACATTTGCTGTCTTCCATGCCTCAAGCAATCTCCCTGTTTCGATATATGTATTGAATATTGTTGTTAGGGGTACACATAGCGCCTCTGCTCCCTCTCTCAGGACCCATGGAGAGATGTTATCTGGCCCATTGCCTTTGAGGTATCTAGCTCACTCAGAGCCTCTTCACTTCTTCCTCGGTTGTGTGTACTGTGTCCAGCACATGGTGGTGTACCCCACCTCTCCGTCTTTCTGGAGCCCCTTCTGTCTCCTCTGTGAACACTTCTTTGAATCTCTTGTTGAGTTCCTCACATACTTCACGGTTCATTTCTTGTTGTCTCTCCTCCTTCCTTCCTTAGCCTGATGACCTGGTCCTTGACGGGTTTTTTTCTTCCTGATGTGGCTGTATAACAGCTTCGGGTCAGATTTGGCTTTTGTGCTATGTTGTTTTCATATTGATGTTGGCCTCCCTTCTTATCTGTGCATATTCGTTTCTGGCTCTACGACTGCTCTCCTTATTCTCCTGGGTCCTTTGCCTTCTATATTTCTTCCATTCCCTAGCACACTTGGTTTTTGCCTCCTTGCATCTTTGGGTGAACCATGGGCTCATCCTGGCTTTTCCATTATTCCTGTTACCCTTGGGTACAAACCTCTCCTCAGCCTCCTTGCACATTGTTGCTACATATTCCATCATCTCATTAACTGGCTTCCCTGCCAGTTCTCTGTCCCACTGAACCTCATTCAGGAAGTTCCTCATTCCTGTGTAGTCCCCTTTCCTGTAGCTTGGTTTCATTTGTCCTGGCCTTCCTGCTTTCCCCTCCACTTGTAGCTCTACTGTGTATTCGAAGCTCAAAACCACATGATCGCTGGCCCCAAGGGGTCTTTCATATGTGATGTCCTCAATATCTGCATTACTCAGGTGAATACTAAGTCCAGTCATTGCTGGTTCATCCTCTCCTCTCTCTCTTGTAGTGTCCCTTACGTGTTGGTACATGAAGTTTTCCAGTACCACCTCCATCATTTTAGCCCTCCATGTATCTTGGCCCCCATGTGGCTCCAAGTTCTCCCATTCGATCTCCTTGTGGTTAAAGTCGCCATGATCAGGAGCTTTGCCCTGCATGCATGAGCTCTTCTCGCCACTGCAGCCAGTGTGTCAACCATCGCTCTATTGCTCTCGTCATACTCTTGCCTTGGCCTCCTGCTGTTCTGTGGTGGGTTATACATCACTGCAATTATCACCTTGGACCACCAGAGTGAAGCGTTCCCGCTATGTAATCACTTTCTTCTCCGCTGTCTCCTCTCTCCAGCTCATCAAAATTCCATCGGTGTTTGATCAGCAATGCCACTCCTCCACCCCCCTGTTCCTTCTGTCTTTTCTCAGGATCTGGTATCCCGCTGGAAAGATGGCATCTGTTATCATACCTGTAAGCTTGGTTTCTGTGATCGCTATGATGTCTGGTGATGCCTCTTTGACTCTTTCGTGCCACTCCTCCCACTTGTTTGTTATTCCATCAGCGTTTGTGTACCATACCTTCAGTTTCCTTTCCAACACTGTGGTTTGGGGGGCCTGTGGGGGTGGGAGACCTGGTAGCATACTGTGGGATTCTATGGTTGGGGGTTGGGTGGAAGCTGTGGGTATGGATTGTATTGTGTGTTGGGATGGTGTGATAGGTTGTGGGGTTCTGAGGATAGTTGTGTGTGTGCTTGCCCTTGCTGCTCTGACTGACCTCTGCTGGTTCCATCCTTGTCTCCTTTCCTAGCTCCTTTCGCTTTTTTGTCCTCTCCCTCAGCTGCCGTCTCTCTGTGTTCTGTCTCTGTCTAGGAACACCTTCTTGTACTCTTCCTAGCTTTTCAACCGTGGTTTCTCTTGGAGGATCCTGTTCCGCACTGTTTCTGTCCTGAGAATCAGCTTGATCGGTCGGTTTCTTCCCTTCAAGTACCCCCCTATTCTCTGAAAATTTACAATCTCATCCATGTCTTCTCCCCCTATTTCCGTGATGATTTTCTCAATCTCCTTTCTTTCTTCCTGCCGTCTTTCAGTGTGTGTCCTTTCCTCTCTCTCCCGAAGCCCATGGATAATCACTGATTTTTCCCTTTCCTTCTCCCATTGCCTCTCCCTCTGTGACTCTGGTTCCTGTCTGTATGTGGTCATTTTCTCCCTTGATTTTTCCAGTGGCTCTTGGTAGCATGGTTGTGCCTCAGCATTCGACCTATCTCCCTCTCCATCTGCACCCATCTGCTCTTCCCTTCCACTCCCTGGCCCTTCTTTGCAGGCTGATATGATCTTAGCATAATTCATATCTCCTTCCTTCCTGTTCAGCCTCTCATCTTCGTATGGTGTGTCTTCTCTGGTCACTACCCCTGAGACTTGCTTCAGCCTGTTTACCTCAAATTCTATTACCTTTACCCTGGCTACTGCAGTTTCGACTTGTGCCTCCCAATTCTTCGTCTCCTACTCCAACCTCTTTTCCCATTTCACAGAGAGCTCTTTCTCCATTTTTTCAGAAAGCTCTCCTAATTTTCTCTCCCATTCTTGCTCTATCCTTTTCCACTGTTCCTCCATCCATTCCTCCCAGCAGTACCATTGTCATCTGATCCCTGATTCCTGTGTGTGTGTGTGTGTGTGTGTGTGTGTGTGTGTGTGTGGTAGTGTGTGTGTATGTAGTATGTATGATGTGTGTGTGTGTGTGTGTGTGTGTGTGTTGTGTTGTGTGGTTGTGTGATGTGTGTGTGTGTGTTGGTGTGTGTGTTTACGCGTGCGTGCAAGAGGAGCAGAATGATTGAATAGGAATTTAAGAACAGGCAGAGGAGAATTTGGTATTAACAAAACATTGAGTAAGAATGTTATCAAGAGGAAAAAGTTATTTTTGAAAAAAAAAAAAAGTAATTCAGAAATAAGGGAAGAAATTAAAGGATATAAAAAGTTGATTTAAAAGTTATTGAAAATGAAAAGATTTATTAGAGGAAAGTAAGATGCAGCCAAGGGAAGAATTGGGTGTTAGTAACAAAATGTTAAGTGAATGAGGTAGTGCAATACTGCAGAGTTTAGTGATGCATGTATGCTTGGAGAATTAGAATGGTGCCTTATGACTGAATCTTTGTCCTTGGAGGAGCAAGTGTATCCAGTTCAAATTCAGAGGCACCAAGGAAATAAATTTGCTTAGCCTCCCAGGAAAAGTGTATAGAAGGGTTATAACTGAGAGGATGAGTAGAGCAAGAAATGAGTGAGGAGCAAGAATGTTTTAGAAATGGAAGAAGCTGTGTGAATCTGATACTTGCTCTGAAGATACTAGAAAAACTATAATTAAAAGGATGACAGTGTATGCAGCATTGTGAACCCAGAAAAAGTTTGACTGATTTTGTTAGAATGCTTTTTGATAGGTTTTGGAACCTTTGGTGAAAGTGAGAGTTATTAATGACAATAAAATAATTATATATCAGTAGCAGGGGTTCAGAAAGTTTATCTAGATTATGAGTGTTTTTGAAATGTGCAAGGTAATGGAGTGACATGCCTGTAATATCGCCTTTGCACGTGGTTCCTGCAGACCAGCCTGTTTGGTGATTTAGTATGGATAACAAAATGAGGAAGCATTATAGAAAATAATAAAGGATCTCTACACAGTGTCAGTGATGGTTTGAACATTGCAATGTTTTTCAAAAGATAGAGTAATGTGGTATGTATATAAAACAAAATGTGATGCTGTAAGATTGAAATGGGTGGTGGAGTACAGAAAGAGAGAAGAATTTAAATATTTAGGATCATTTCAGTACTTTGCACATTGAAAGAATGGAGAGAGAAATGTATGAGTGAATACAGCAAGAGAGATTGGATCCCTATAGTGGATTATGAAAGGTTGAAATGTAACTGGGATGGGAAAATTGTTATTGTATATTCCTCCCAGCTCTGCCCTATGGGAGTGAAATGTATATGAAATGAAACACACAACTCGGAAATTCAGACCAGTGAAAGAATTTTAAGAAATACATAAGGTATAAGTAGGCGAGAAGAAATTAACTATAGGAAAGTACATGACATTGTGGCTACATTCATGGCAGGGATATTTCTAAGGGTAAAAATATATCAGTGGTATAAATACACAGACAGAAAAAAAAAGGTACTTTTGGAAGCGTTCAACCAATCTATATCAGCTTGGTATGTGATCTAGTAGGTCACAGCATCTTAGCAAAATAATGGATTACATTTTTTCCCTGCAGGGGTGCGTCAAGTGGTAGAAGGAGACTTGCCAAAGGTTACCCCTGATGTTGCAGTGACCATAGCCAAGAGTGATTTGATGGCCATTTTTGAAGGGACTCTTGCCCCTCTGCAGGCTTATCTTTCAGGCCATCTGACAGTCCAAGGCAACGTGCAGATGCTTATGGGGCTAGAGTCTCTCCGCCAGGGTAATAAGGATAAAGACAAAGATGATATTTTTATTGTGTAATGACTAGATTTTTACCTCAATTTCAACATGGTATATATATAAAATAAGGGCTTGTGCAGTAACAAATACCAAGTTGATTTTTATTGGGAGAATTTCCACTTGCACTAGCTATAGTCCAAAGATTGCACAAAGAGGTTTATTAGCTTTATCTTTCATTATAAATAAGATGGGACACCAATATAATGTACTGAATGAAGAAGTTATAGGGTTTTAGTAGCTATGCACAAACCTACTAAAACCTTGAACTTGAAGAGGCTGTTTACCTGCTTTATTTATTATGACTAAAAAATATTATTTTCTATGGATCCTCATAAATTCCTGCATGCCTTTCCATAATTTTGTCCTGCCAGATGTGAAAAATATTTTCCTATCTGAGAGTATTTTGTTATTCATTATGCACCTTTTTTTAATACAGTTTGAACTTTTCAAATAAATTGTAATTTTATGTATTTTCTGGATATTTGTTTTACGTATAGATATTTAGGTAAATGGCTGAAATAACCGAAAACTTCTTATAAGATCATTTTCTGTATTAAAATTTTGATTCCATATTTAGAAAAGCGTGCAGAAGAAATGTGTTGAAGTATAATATGGTTATGTTCACGCAGATTTTTTCAGCCAGGTGTTTTGAAATGGCATTGACATTCCATAGTAAATAATAATTTAGTTAAATTATTTTTATTTTAATTTTTACATAGTTGTTTATAATTCATAAGAGTACTGCCTTTTGAGCTGTTAATTTTTTTTTTTATTTTTTTTTTTTTAATTTATGATGGTTAGCCTTTTAGATCTTTTATATTAATAATTTAAAATTTATGTGATGCAGCAGTAAGTAGGGGGCTTTAAGATAAGAATTACAATGTGTATAAATTATGGGGACAATGGAAGCTACAGGTCCTCCCGGACACTACATGCACATGTTACCCATTTAATTACTAGGCTAGTCCCAGTGGTGCTAACTGATAAGCAACGCCCATATCGACTAGTGCCACTCAGGATGGCGATTATAACCTGTTATTCTAGAAACTAAACAGCCTGGGGATGACAGAATGGGCTACTTTGTAGGAAATCATTTTCAACTTTAGCTATATTACTTATGATATTTAGCTTGAAACTAGGAGTGGTCGTATTTACACTTCGTATACTTAATGCTCTTTAAAGAATATTTTATAAGAATGGCCATTTGTGTGGTTAATTAGTGAATTTTTAAAAAAATTTTAACTCCTGTTTCCAGATTACATTTCTTTTTTAATATTTTATCAATCTCTAATGGTCCTTAGCTGATCTCACTTCCAGCCATCTGAAGGCCCACTTTTAATAATCATTTTATGCAGCAAGTGGCTGATTCTAATTGGTTAAAAATTTTAATAAATTATCGATGTTCATGAAAAATAAATGCATATACATATTTACATAAATTTTTTACTTTGCAACAATGTTTCAGATAAATTTTCACACTAGTAAGTACCTATAGGGAGAACTTTATACCAAGATATGAAAGAGAAATTTCATAATAGGCATTTTTCTTAAATGCTGTTATGAAATCTTATATGTTGGTTATAATTTATTAAAAATATATTTTATGGGCAGTAAGACTCAATAGCCTCTGGCTGAAGGTCATTTTTGTTATATTAATATGTTAATTTTTTAATATGTATGGTATTCTAGTGTTAAACATTTTTGTTTTATTACAGTATTTAAGTATTTTGTTAGTAAAGTCTCTTAAAAACAGTATTAAAGACAAATCAAATGGGGCAAAGGTGAATCCAATAGTTTTTTCCTCACCAGACCCACCTAGAGGGGTTCTTAGATGCCAGTGAGGGGCTCTCGAGTCAAAGAATTGGATTATTTCTCCCATGGGTTGAACTTGATCACCTCCCATTTTCCCAAGTGCTATATGACCCCTATGGGTTTAGTGCTTCCCTGAATATGATATGATAGTTCCCTCACTAAAGTGTAATGTGACCCACAGAGGCTTTTTGCTTCTTTATGAATATAAAACTGTAATTATAACAATAATTATGCAGGAACGGTTTTGATTGTTTATACATTTCAATAATGCATTATAGATACCGTGCTTTATTATGGCTTGCTTTTATTTTACTTTTTCCATTTGACAAGTTGATTTTAAAGCACGAATCTTCATGCACTGGAGTAGTTGCGTCAAGAGTGTAAGAAATGTTATAGAACAAACTAATTATGTTAGATGACTGTACATAAATTTTTATGGATCAAGCATATTGTCAAATAATTTTTGAAAACTAATTTAGTTCTCTGTTCATAAGTACTCCTCCCTACAATACAAACTGCATTTCATCTTTTTCATATAATACAAATTACTAGTCACCGTCTTTTATTTTTCAACTAAATTATTAAAACCTTTTGTGAAAAGCAGGCAACTTTCAATGCTACATACTAATTGCAGGACTACGGTATATAATGCTAAGATATAATTGTTATTACTTGAGTAATCAATAAGCAGTTATACATATTACTGGGTATCCTTATTATGTATACAGTAAGAAGCCAAAGCATGGTGGAGGCATCTCCCACTCATCAACTGGCAGTAAACACATTTCAAATTACGTATTGTGTAGCCCTGGTATTAACGAATTCACAAGGGGCAGAAGGGATGTCTGTTTAATCAAAAATTCATTGCAATGAAATGCCCAGGGCACTGGGCATTGTATGAAGAGCCTTCTGGACACTCATACTAGTGTTAACAAAATATAAATGCAATGGAATTGGTCTATTGTATGGGGGTAGCCCACTGGGCACATTCACTACTGCTCACAAACAAAATCACCATAAATTGAACTTAGTTTGTTGCATCAAACATTTGTCTGGCCAAATATTTTGTCTTTCACCTGAAATCTGTTACATGTGGGGTGCATTATATCGAGGTTTTACCGTAATTTTGTGGATGGAGAATTAAACAACCACCACTTGCTGTGTTGATTGATCATTTGGTGTAGTATTACATATCGAAGAAAATCTTGCATATCATCTCCTCTGATAACATACCACTCACCCTAAACAGTTTAGAAATTAAGATTATCAGTGTAATATATTTTGATCCATGTAGAATTTCATATTGTACTTCATTTCTTGTCAGTCTTGTACCAACATTATTTAAGAACTGCCAGAATTTAATTCCTCTTATACTGTATACTATATTCCAGTACTCTTTAATATGAAAAAAAAAATCCATACATAGTTTAAGATTATATTATTGTTCTTGGATACCATTCTTATATTGCAGTTAAGAGTAAAGAAGCAGTTACTATCCATTTTAAATAACATGATGACTCCCTAATTTTTGAAAGAGTTGTGTTTGAAACTTACGAACAAGTAACTCTGAACATATTATCCTATAGTAAACAATGGTACAAAGGATAATTAGGTGTCCTGCCTTTCTTTTAACTCTAGAGTTTCATTCATAAAGCAGTTATTTTCAGTATTATATCTTTTTGATCTTTTTCGTAAGTATGGGTCACTTTAACTGAAGAGTTTGTAAGTCAGTGGACCCCCCCTTCCCTTTTCTTCTGTAATGATGAAGTTTAATTTCTTCCAAGTCCACATTTTAAATGTAAGAATGGATGTTTTGCTTTGTTATTCATTGTACAGTGTCTTATTATAGGCATTTTTCAGTTCTGCTACAGGTGTGTCGTACATTTTGTTTTACTCTAGCTAGCAAATATTTTATATATTCAACCTTTCTCTCATCTGATAGTACATAATAGCAAACTATGTCAGTCTTCCTTTAATTTAAAAATCAAATGTTTGCTGCTTTCAGTCTGAACATAGATGTGTAAATATTGTTAGCAGTTTTTTTTAATACAGTGGTACCTCGGGATATGAACTTAATTCATTCCAGAAGGCTGTTCGAGTGCTGATACTGAACGAATTTGTTCTCATAAGGAATTATGTAAATTAGATTAATCCGTTTCAGACCCCCAAAAATACACTCACAAAAGCACTTACATAAATACACTTACATAATTGTTAGCGTTTTGAGCTGTTCGTATCCCAAGGTACTAGTGTATTTAGTCTGTATTATCCCATTCCATTCCCTGCCACCTTTTAAGTACCTAAGTTAACATTTTCTTTTTGTTTCCTCTTGCATTCAGATATAACGTTTTTATGCAGTTCGTTGTTGGTAAATGTAAATATTAAAAAATTCACATGAAAGATTACCTAAGAGCATTAGCAAAATTCATGAAGCTAGTTTTTTTTCCTAAATATTGACAAATTTCATATTTTGAGTTCTAATGAGTTACTGATTTTTGTTTTAACACTAAGTTTAGCATACTAATGCATACTACCTCTTATATATCCTACTTCATTTAAAATCATCATATTTTTCTCAAAGCTCCAATGATGACAATAATAGTAATAATAATAATAATAATAATAATAATAAATAATAAAATAATTTTCCAAGGTATATTTGTGATACTAAGATTTATTTCTACATGGAAAAAATTCCTAAGCTGGTTAAGTCTGTATTAATGCAAATGAATGCACACGGAATAATATTAAGCTTCAGATATTTCCCTAAGCAGTGAAGAGGTGTTTTAAACATTATTATTTTTTATAAATAATTCTATTTTTTGACAATATCTGGACTGACAATCAATAAAATTTTCTAAATGAATAAGCTATTGCCTGCTGAACGAACTCTAGATTCATCCATTAATGGATATGTACATACATATGCAAATTGCAAATATATATAAAATTGTTTCCAAATTTATCCTAATGTATATTTGCCACTGCAAGGATGAAAATATTGTGACAGTGTTTACAGTGCCAGACGCTTGTAATAGTGGCGAATGCTGCTAAGTCTTGTATAAAGATCGTGTTTTTCTCAATTTTCAAAAAGAAAATCTTGTGACAATCCTTATATAAATTATTTATTATTGTTTCACTCTCTTTGATTATCCTATTACCAGTAAC